CTCTACTTAATATCGGTCCCAAATCAGTGATCAAATAAAGGCTTATGTCAAGTTCTGATCACAAGGCTTAATTACCCAATAAAAAGCCATGACTAAGACTGCGTAAGTCCGTAATAAGTATGGTTGGGATAATGAGATGTAAGCGCGTAAGCACGTTAGTCAGGTTACGAAACCACTCGTCATAATCTCTCAGTCTAGAGCCATTAAGGCTTATCCTCTCAAGAAAAGGCATCCATAGAATTGTGTAATATGGTACGTTTGGTTTAGTGGATGAGCCTAGTCTAACATGTTGGACGAGTGTAAGTGAAGTTATAACCATCACTGGGCTGAAAAGTTGAGTCGCATTCTTTTAGATGGCGGCTGAACACCCTCTCTCTCCTCCAATATATCAATTAAGCCCAAGTAGTTCTTACTTAGCTCCCTACCACCATTATTCACATCGTATCAAAACCAAACGGCTGCAGTACAACGGGATTTTGCTGTAGTCTTCTGGTGAGATCAACTTACGAATCTCCTCTTCATGCACTTTTATGCGAAATGAGGATCTCTGCAACTGTTGTATCAGGATATTCATCGAAATCCGGTTACTCTTCGTATTTACAAAGTATTATGCACAATTCTGAAATAATTTTCTATATGGCAGATCTCCAAACGCGGATCCTTTATGATGTGGACGACTCCGATATGTTCCGATAAGACGAAACATTTCGTCCAGGACGATGGATGATGAAGAACTAGAGCATACAAACTTATTTCGGATCTGAAAAACTAGACTTACACCATCTTTCCAAAAGCTATACTATTCGTATGAATCGTAATTCGAAATAAGGAAATATTCGAATTCGTAAAAAATAATAAAAACTGCTGACAGGATACTCGACGTCAATGCGATTAGTATGCACTCAGTTCAAATGCAACCAGACCCATTTTGTATAAATAAAGGAATGGCAGGGTTTAGGAGACATTGGATTTCAGGAATGAGTTCATTTATGCCTAACCAAAAGTAAATATCATTCCAAAATAAAACTATTCACAAGAAGAGAACGGAAAGATTCCTCATAATCTATGCTATTATGAAGAAAGTAAGCATAATTGCAAATAATAACAAGCAGCAAAGAAAAAGAGGAAATCAGAATAGAGAAGAGGAGAGACTATCACTCATTTCTAGACATTTTTGCAAATCATTGTTTTACCTGGAGTATCTTTCCGTGATATGGATTTGTGAACGAAAGTTGCTGTTGATAAAGAGGGTCAAGTGTTCTCCTTGGCGGTGTCGCTGTGCGCAACTTTTCAACGGATGTTTTACCCTCCAGAAGATGCAGTTTGACGTAGGGCGCTGGCAATGTCTTGGCATTATTCTTCTGCTGCAATCCCCTGGCGCGTATCACTTCCACTTCGAGTCGGCCTTTGCGATCCACGAAGCTGAGTTGAATTTCTCCGAGGCACGGCATACCTAACACCTGCCGACCGACCAGCTGCCCAGGACCGAGGCCTTCAACAAAGTCGCCAACGTGGGTTTCATTTAGACTAGATATGATATGTCTGGAAATCAATTATTTTGATGAAAATGAGGTAAATGTAGGAGAATCTTCAACAAAAAAATTCTAAGTATTCAGCCCCGAATATTTTTAGTTACTAAAAAAACATTTTGACTCATAAGATGTATTCACCTTATTTCGTTTAGGGTGATGAAGGAATGATAGTTGAATTTTCCCACTATGATATAAGGATGAGAACACCTTTTTGGAAAGCAAGGATATGTGAAATTTAATGGAAACGTCAGCTCTACTCATATCATTGTGGGGAAATTCAACTAACAGTCCTTGATCACCTTAAACGAAATAGGGTGATTACATCTCATATAACTGACTAACTGGCAGTCTCGAAACCGTACTTATAAACGAAGCATTTTCACTCGATTTTCATTACATCTTTATTACTTCCGACAAGAAAACCTAAAATAGCCCAGGTCCAACATTTGTTAAGGTTATATTACCATCCACTTGGTCTGCGTGAAAAATAGAAATTCACCTTTACTTTAATTTATTGCGGAAAGTCTAGCCGTCAGTCAGAGAAGAAACCGGCCAAAATGCGAGAACCCGATAACAAATTTTATCCTTTCCCACTTTTACATTTTATTAAAGTATACAATTTGTGGAAAAATCAATGGTTCAGTTCAATCTCATGTTTCTGATAGCAAACACGATCTCTCAGCATAAATGGTCTAAACGACCACTACTTCCAACCTAATTGAGATGTTCTTTCGTGCTCTCCCAAATTACTCTCTGCTTATTGTTAATATTACTTTGCATTGAAGCATTGATTACCATCTTAACCAACGATCATATTATTATTTGGTATGGGAAAATTTTGATTGCATCAGTATTAGGATTTGATAAGTTGGAGTGTCTGCCGAGTACCATGGAATGTAAGTCACGGAGCCCTCTTATACCTGATTTGGACATAACTTCGACCTGCTCTAAATTCTAGTTAAACAGATTTTTTAGTAAATATACTATATTGGAAGTACTACCTGTAGTTTAGAGAAGAAAACTGACCATGCAATGAATCATTCACAGCCCAGTACCAGAGTGAAGGCATGAATCATAAATCCCATTAAACATTCTAAAAAAAACATAGGATTCCTTGTAGATGATTAGGTATTTGGCAGCTCCTCTGGGCAGTAAACTATTGTCACACAACCAAAGTCCACAAAATAAAGGTTTAATGCAAGATGGACTCATGGCAGAATAGGGGTATAGAATTAAAGTCAGCTTGGACTGGTGCATTTTTGTAGCCAACATATAGTCTACAATATGAAAATAGATTACTACGAAATGAGAAGGAATAGTAAAGAAAGAGATATGATTAACTTGGAGGCCAATTTCAAACCATATAGAGTTAAAATACAGCTACAAGAACAGATAATTGGTTAATAATTTACATTAAATGTTCTTTAAAAACATGAATGAGTAGGAAAATCCTCTCATCTCAAAACCCACTCTTCAGGATCATTCGAATCGAATAAAAGCGTCTCGGAGCCACCCCTCGTTTCGTAGTCCGTAA